TTTGTTGGCCTCACCCTGTTTTAGCCCCAGAAGAGGTATTTTTCCCTTCAAACTGGAGACTGTAAGTCACTTTCAGTTATGGGGGCAGCAAAAGTGATATGTGGGAGGGCAAGTATGCATGGTTCAAGCTGAGGCATGTGTGGCTCCTCAGCCACATCGGGTTCTGTATCCTGGGTTTAGAAGCAAGAGCCAGGGTGGACAGAGAGAGAGAGAGCATTTCTGGTTCCCGAAAAACTCGCAAGCTGTCTGATTTGATACAGCCCTGTAAGCCACGTTTTGTGATCTACCAATCTCCCAGACACTCCCCATCGTGGCTTCTACAGTCTTGAGCAGCCCAGAGTAGACCTTTTTTCTAGATGGGCGGGGTATAAATCTAATAAAATAAATAAAATAAAATTAAGCAGACAGTCTTTTGATGTTGAGCAGACTGTTGCACGGCTGGATCGCTTACATTCTCTCTCTCTCTCAATCTCTCTGTGAAACAAGACCAGACTTTGGCTGCAAAATTAAGCCTGTCAACAACATCACAGGTGAGCAGTGTTGCAGATCAAGTATTTGTGCAACTAGAGAGAGAGAAGCGACACAAATGACAGGTTCTCAGGACCGAGATGCCAAAATCCCAGGGAAAATAGAGGGCTACTCTTTTGCTGTCTGGACTTCTGTTTTTTCCTTTAGTTTAAATAAGTGGTTCCCAACCTTGGGCTCACAGAGGTTCTCGGCCTCGAACTCCAAGAAGCCTTCACCGTTAGTTGTGCTGGCCAGGACTTCTGGCAGTTGAAGCCCAAGAACATCTGGGCACCCCAGTTTGGGAAGCACAGAATTAAAAGGACAGAGCAAACGTAAGGGAAGCTGCTTGTACATGTATGCTCTCAGTGTGACTAGACTAGATGAGGCAAACCAAAGGCTGGGACAAATGAAGAAATCCAAAGAATAGGTAAGCTTGTCCCGGACCAAGGTGACTCATAATACCTAGAGAGAAGGCTGCCCAACAAGCTCACACAGAAATGACAAGCATCAACAGACTAAATTCAGGACTGGTGCTGGAGGCAACGAAAGGCGGAAGAAGCACGTTTTAATTTAAGGAAGATTTAGTTTAAGGAAGATTTGCACAAAAAAAAGTACAAAAATTCAGAGAACTTCTCCATGAAAAGCAATTCAGAGGGAAAAGAAAATCTCATATTGAATAGTTCACAAAATTCAGTATCATGCAATACAGCAGAAATGGAAGAAACGGGCCCAATCTGAGACAGGAAATAAAAGCAATAAGAAAAAGGCGTCGAGAAGGACTGTGTCACAAAATGAACTGCACAAAAGGCCTAAACAGAGCTAAACAGATGTCCCTCAAGCTTCTTTTCCATGCTTACCTGCCGTGCATGGTTGACACACTTTAAGTACTGGCTGGCCAGGGCTGAGCAGCTGAGCGTCTGCTGAGAATTCTCCTGATAGCACTGGAGGATTTTGCTCTGCAGGTCAGCGCACACTGGACTGGACTCATACCGCCTGGGATGAGGGGTGGGGGCAGCCGTGGAGAAAGAGAGAGAAAAGACAAACACGTTTAATGGTGCTTTCAAAGTCAGGTGTATTGTGAAAACAAAGTCTCTTTTTTAACGTTTCGTAGAATCACAGAATAATTGAGTAGGAGGGGGCCTCTAAGACTATCAAGTCCAACCCCCTATTCAAGGCAAGGAATCCAAATCAAAGCAGACCTGACCGAGGATGGTCCAATGTTCTCTTGAATGGAGCGCATGCCACCACCCGAGGTCATCGGTTCCATGGTCGTCCTGCTCTAACCATTAAGAAGTTTTTTCCTGATATTCAGCCCAGGGTTCCATGGTTGTCCTGCTCTAACCATGAAGAAGTCCTTTCCTGATACTCAGCCCACATCTGGCTTCCTATAGCTTAATTGTATAGCCCAAATCACGAAAAGGAAAGAGAAGAGGTAGGGAGTTCAATTCTCCATTGGGCCTCCTGGGAGAAGAGGAAGCCTATATAGTTTTGGGCAAGCTGCACCGTCCTAGGGCACCAACAGGTTGGGAGTTCAATTCTCCACTGGGCCTCCCGGGAGAAGAGGAAGCCTGTATAGCTTTGGGCAAGCTGCACCGTCCTAGGGCACCCCCAACCCACCTCCCAGAAGAAAGGAAAAGCAAACCAATTCTGAGTCTTCTCTACCTGGAAAACCCCGAAAAGGGTCAACACAAGCTAGAATTGACTTCACGACATACGATTATTATTAAAGACAAACACAACTACTGCCCAGTGGATTTCTCATTTCCGACAGCAAACACGTTGCTCAATGAACAGCTGCGTAACTCTCTTTGATGATGATTATTTTAATAGCAAGGCAACTCATAACAGCATAAACAAGCTACCGTGGTTATAAACTGTCTAGAGTCGCTTATGGGAGTGCTGACAGTCTGTAATGCATCCTAAAGAAAAAGGATGGTGAGCGAAAATTGGAATATATTGACTGCGGCTCTACCAACATCCTTATGAGCGGCCTTAGAAAGTGGAAATAAATTTTTGGATGGAAACTCATAAAAACAAAATATGTCATGATCCAAATGAGCTAAGTATCTTTTTGCAAACCCTGCTAATGATTTTAACTGATCTGCATGAAAAGGAAAATATTAATTTTCAATTAAAAAAAAGACAAAAAGCATTCAAAGCAAGCATCTTTCTTACAACGAAGCCCTCCCTCTGGAAGAAAAAAAAAAGGATGAATGGCATGTATTTACACCAGTGTTTCATAAAGTCTGTATACGCACTATATGATTATTTTTGTATCAACTTCAGAATCCAAAGGAAAATGGCAGCAAGGAAAACAGCCAGCTATACTGTCCCACATATGTTTGTGCTCACTTGGATCTGTTGTTGTTTAGTCGCTAAGTCGTGTCCAACTCTTCATGACCCCATGGACCAGAGAGCACACCAGGCCCTCCTGTCTTCCACTGCCTCCCAGTTTGGTCAAATTCATGCTGGTAGATTCGGTGACACTGTCCAACAGATCCAACCTGGATCTGTATCTTTGGGCAAAAATCCTGTGTAATAAATTGCATTACGATAAACCCACCAAATTGATGGGGGTTTGGTGAGTCAACTCCTCCATAAGTTCCATTGACTGAAATGGGCCTATGCGAACTGCAACTTTCCATGCTAAATTAAGCTGCACTTAGGGTAGGCCCATTTAAAACAATGGATTTTATAAAGGAATTTATTCACCAAACCCCTTTTGATTCAATGGGCCTACTCTGATGTGACTTCCAACAGCAGGCAATAGGATTTAGACTATATCTATAACTATGTACATTTGCTTTAATGAACGGAGTGCAGATACGCCATCAACATTTTGAAATATCAAACGTTATAAAAAATTAATACCTGTATGCTAAAAGTATTTATGTGAATCAGGAAGTAAGAGCTCTATAAATATTGACAAAAACGGAGAAAAGAAAAGGGAAAAGGGGGGGAGAAAGAGGAAGCCCAGGACAAAGAAGCTTATCTCCATACAGAGGTAGATGAACCTTCAAATTGCATAATTTAGGCAGGAGGCCTTCAACAGAAGATTGATGTTAAGTTATTGGCAATTGTTTTCTCTGCTTTTCAGACCAAAAAATCGTAAGGAAGGACAGTGAATGGGAAGAAAAAAATCAGCGCATTCTAGTTACTGTTCTTAGCAGAATTTGGGGGAACAAAACCCATAACACCTGGAGGATTCTGTAGTAGTTAACAGTCCAGAAAAGGAAACTTCCAAGCTCTCTTTCTTTAACAAAGCATCTGGAAGCAGCATCAAGAGTCAACGAGTCACCTCCCTTTATCCATTCTCACAAGCAGGCAAATCTTCCTTGCAGTGGAAGGCCTTCCTTCAACTTTGATACACATGGGCTGAGATGGGGGCGGAAGGCGCATCTGGAGGTTTTCTGCTTTTTGGAAGACTTGTGAGAATTTGGAAGAGTTTGCAGGGAGCAGAATATATGGTTTGTTTAAAAGAAATCCTTCTACAACCTGTTTTTGAAGGTTGTTTTCTTCTTGCCTTCTCCTTTAAATGAAAAAAAAAAAGCATTCTCACAAAGAGGGAAATCTTCCTTGCAGTGGAAGGCCTTCCTTCAACTTTGATACACATGGGCTGACATGGGGGCGGAAGGAGTTTTTCTGCTGCTTTTCGGGAGACTTGTGATTAAGTTGTTTTTTAATGTCGCTCTGCAGTTTTCGCTCAATCAGTCGTTTGATTATACTGTTTAAAATTTCAGGAACTGGTAAGCTACCTTGAGTATAGAGTGACATGGGGTATAAATATTTAAAGTGAGTGAAATGTTAATTATTGCACTTTGTGTTTTAGTATGTACCCTAGGCTGGATACTTCTCTTGAGGTGCTTCACACACATGTTCTCCTCTTGCTGGAATCAATACATCAATCCTATAAGGGGTGTCAGTCTTCCTAGCCCCATGGGCAGACAGACAGACGGATGGACGGATGGATTATAGATAGATAAGTCCTTTATTGGCATAAGGGTTGGGTAGAGTATGCCATACACAAACCTAGACCACAGGCTGAAGGTGATGAGCCCCATATGACTCCTGCAGCGCTGAGACTAAGAGACAGCAGTTGACTTAAGGACTTGAACTGGAAAGTGGAAACTTTCTGCTCCATAATTCCATACCTAAGCTATTTTCCCACAAACACATATTTCCCCGTAAACACATACGCAAGGACAAAAATTGGTTCCCATCCCAACAGGTCTTTTCACAAGTTCCCATTTGAGTTGTCAAAGAGAAAGAAGAATCTTTTTTCTGGTTGGCACATACAATAAATGTAAACCATGTTTCATAAACTGTATCTTGTTTCGGAAAGAAATGTGTGGGGGTTTTTTTTGCAGCTGATTTCTCAATTGTTTCAGTACTGCAAATCACGTTTGTCATTTTCCATTGTTGAAGGGAGGTTTGCGCCTCACGCTTGTCAATTCTAATTTTGCCACTACACAACAACAACAAAAAAGAAGGAACTACCTGTATACTAGGAGTTGAGTTAATTCTTTGGTAAAAGCATAACCAAGCTAAGATTGGGGGCATTAGCTCAGTTTGACCAGTCAATCGTTTTGGGTTTTCCCAAGCAGCCTTTCCCAAAACTGTCTGGCCACTGGGCGCTCCCATCCCATAATAGCACTGAGGACACAACAAAGACCCACTACCCGCTTATGTGAGCCTATGGGCCACATGCCATGTTTCCCCGCCACTGGCATGCCAGGGAAGTGAATCATCCACGTTGAGGTTCTGACATTTTCCTGCAAAGAGATGGCTTTCTAAATTTTTCCCATTCATCTATTTTGAAAACCAGGACACAAACTGACACATCCCACTTCCAAATCCAAACGCTTAGCTCAAGCACACTTTCTAGACAGTATTATTTTAAGTTCAAGAAGAGCACAGAGAGAGATTAGGGGTGGTGAATCTGAGAAAGAGAGAGAGGACTCATCCATGAGTATGCCGTCAAATAGATAGATATATGAGCTCTTTATTCTGGATAGGCCCAAGATGAGCTATATTTTAACTAAAAGGATGAGAGTAAGATGCAAAGCCCTCAACGGGTCCTTTGGGAGCTCCTTTCCTGACAGTCTTGCCAAGATGCAGAAGCAAAAAAGAGATGGTCAACGGTTAAATCTCCTTTATTTTATAGCACGCGTTCAAGATAAGACATGCCTCCTGTACTCTTCAGCGTGATCGCTCCATCACCATAAAAACATCTGAAGCCAAGTTAAAAACCTTCTCTAGCAGCAGTGTTCTGCAGGGGCTGACATTCTGAGATTTCTGCAGATTCCTATATGACAGACAACTTCCTTACATCCATGGATACACTTCAAGCGCAGCCAAGAGCTCCATGTTGTGCAGATCTTTCAGTGGAGAGGGACTACCGTCCAATTCGGAGCACCTTCTCTTTAAGTCAGACGGCAAGTGGCAGGATGCAATACCGGAGCAGACGGACAAATAGCTTCCTGTATTCACAGAAGCATGCATTGCTATCAAACTGCTCAAGACCCAGGACATCAAAGTGACAGAACTGTCTCTACAGGAAAGCAAATTCTATTGCGGAGGAAGACACAAATTCCTGGCTGAATACTCCTACACCAATTTATAGGCAGGACATAACTCAGAATTTTGCTTACGAAGTCGTGGTGCGATTTCGTGAACCTGTGCCGACCGTTTCCTTACCATCGAGTGACCTCCTGAATCTGACCGAAGACACAATTCATGTCGGGGTTAGCCTGTTTTTAAAATTAATCCGTTAACCTGTTTGCCAAATGACAATTTCATTAACCAAATAACAATCTGGCCCTTGAACTCAATTATCGGTGCAATAATCAAAATCAATCTTTAAATGTCGAAATGGAAATCCAATTGCATTTTGCTGAAAATGCCACCAGCAGTGTGACTTTTGTTCACAACACATTCATATCCTGTATCTGTAGGAGTGTTCAGATACAAATTGATGTACAATTTGCATAGCA